CGATGTGGTGAGCTGGGGGGTCGTGCTGGGGTGAGGATGTGGGGGGGACCCCTGCTCCTGGCAGTGTGGGGCCGGCGTGGTGCCGGGGCCATGGTTCTCCTGCTGCACCCACAGAGCTGCACTCCTATGCCCAGACCTTGGTGGATCTCCTGCGCCGGGCTGGGGACTTCATTCGAAACCAGTTCGACTTCTCCTTCCTCACCCGCAGCCTGCCCCAGCTCCTGGGCAAGATCTACGGGCACCTTTTCCCACCCCGCATCCGTAGGGATGCCCTAGGTACATTCCTGGGCTGGCCACCCTGTGCCTACTTGGGGTTCCACCAGTTCCCCCTATGCTGGTGGCCAGGGCACCAGCAGCCTGCCCTGGCTCCCCTATGGGGTTCCCTACCCCTTGTCCTTCCTGTCTCCTTCTTGTCCCCACAGGCCTGGCTGTGGCAGGGGGGCAGCCCGTCCCCACAGCAGAGGGACCCCTCGCCAGGTGAGGCATAGCTGGCTGTGGGGCACAGGGGGCTAAAGGGTTTGGGGCCCAGGTACCAGTGTGCACTGACATGGCTTTTTGGGGACAACCTAACGCATTGGGGTCCTCCTGTTCCTGCAACTAGGGCACACCTGGAGGGCAGTGGGCACGGCCCCCTGGGGTGCCTAGGGCCAGCCAGGTCCTAGGGGTGGGTGTGGCAGTGCCAGGGGACGGGTGCCATCGGGCCCCTTCCTGAGCTTGTCCCACTGTGCTTGCAGGCAGGGGGCTGGGCAGCCACCCCCCTTCGCTGGGCTCTTTGGGGCCGTGGGACCCCAGCTGCAGGACTGGGTGGAGGCACTGAGGGCCATGGCAGGGGACAGCCCCCCAGCACCCGGCCCGGACGGGGGTCAGCTCCCTGGGGAGACGTGGCTCTTCTTGCAGGTATTTGGGGAGGGATGGGCTGGGGGGAGCCCCTGCCTCTCTGCTGACAGTGCCACCAGGGACCAAAGCCCAGCAGTTCCCCCATGTGCACTCCTGACATCCCTTGGGCCCATCATCCCCTCTGCAGCCACGGAGGTGGCATCTCCCACTCTGCCACCACAGAGGGAGCATCTCACCTTCCTCAGGTGAAACCAGTGCTCCCAGTCTAACCAGTGCAGAGCCAGCCCTGGGTCTGACCCTGCAGCTTATGGTTCAACTCAACACAGTCACAAAGCAGTTGCATGTCCCCAATACCCTGCGTGACACCAGCACAGCTGTGCCCTGTGCTCTGCCACCATGCACCCAGCCATGCCCACGGGTGTCCCATGGATGCCCCACCACCCCACTGTCCTTCATTCTCTTCAGCAGGGCGAGGAGGCAGTGCAGGAGCTGGTGGGACAGGGGCGAGCCTTTCTCACCCAGCTGCGGGCAGAGATGGACCTCAGCACCCCTCTCGAAGCCATGGAGCTGCGACAGGCACCCGGAGAGCTGAAACCCGTGCCGAGCCGTGAGCCCTGGGAGCCTGGGCGGGCTGACACCAATGGAGCACCAGCGTGGCCATTTGCCAGCCAGCTCCATGCCCAGGCAGTGCCTGTCAGCCACGTCCCCACCGGGGGTTTCATGCCTCTCTCGGTGACAGGGTCTGCGCTGAGGGAGAAACGTGAGCTGGTGCCCACGGAGCTGCCAGGGGTGGAGGAGGAGGAGGCAGGTGTGGGCAGAGGTAAGCGCCCTGCAGCCCCTGGCCGCTGTGGAATGCCACATGCCACCACGGTGACAGCAGCAAGCCCTGCCTCAGTTTCACACCCTGGTCCTAGGGCTGGTTGTCCCATGTCAGTGGGACAGCCCTCGGCCATACTCCCCCTCCACAGAGACTCTCTGCCCCTGCTCCCATGATGTCCCTAGAGCGTGGGTGCTCCTCGCTGGGGTGGGCAGCAGTGGAGTACCCCCACAATTCATCTCTGATTTCCCCCTCCATCTCTCCTGCCCCTCCTCGGGGCTGCAGCCTGCCCCGGCCTCAACGAGTCAGC